AATCACGCATTATATGCAAAAACGAGAGTATATGAATGCAAATGATGCATATTTGCGATTGTCTATTGGGAATGCACCCTGGCCCATTGGTAAGTATCGTTGAATATGCTATTATTAAGATTTATCTACTTGAGAAAACATTTATCAACATTATACTATTTAAAATTAGGTGTTACTATGGTTGGGTAAGTATTATTACGCTTGTGCTGTTATACAACATTTTGTTGTCATTGATCATCTAATTTATACTATTTATTCAAAATAGTATTCACGAACGTTCCGCACGTGAAAAGATTTTTTCAGCACAAGTTGCACATGTGCTTAACGATGAAACAACGCGTAAATGGATCCAGTCAATAAAGAGATTAATGACATTTTGTCAGACCAAATATCCTCCGAAGGATAATTCACAACTTATGGGATAGAGTTTAGAACCGGGTTATAGTAAACCGGTCACCGTGTCAAAACGGTTCAGCCGGGTCAAAACGGTTGAATATATAATCTGAAAATCTATTATTATTACACAGAAACAACAAAAATTTAACACATTATTATTGTATTGTGAATAAACACCCTTTTTTTCTTACTAATTTTATCTAAATGTTCAATCCCGCTAATCTGGTTTTAAAAAAAAATTACAACCTTTTGGAGGCTACTATACAGACTATCTATTGTTGCGAAAATTTTGTCAAAAATTTTCCTTTGTATAAACTTTCATTATTATTTTCTTTGCTTGGCTAATATGTAATACATACACTACCCTAAATTTATTACGTAGTTATGATAGATATTTAACGTGAGTCAAATCATTTTCAATAAGTTATTTATAAAGAGATGAATTTTAACAGTAAGAAGAGATAGAAGTTACTCTCTTGATTTTAATAAATATATTGCATCAAAACATAACTTTTGTACATCATCGAGCTATGCTTATCAAAGTTACGGATTAATTCTACCAGAATTATTTTTGCAAGAATTACTAGAATAGGTTTTACGGACTTGACGTGATAATTATTGTCGCGGCTGATGCTGAAATTTGCTGATGCTGAAATCTGGGGTCCCAATTTTAAAATATAGGCCCTGCTAGAATCCACATACCCGGGTGGGTGAAAAGTCTCTATACAGGTCACTATTTTTTGATCACCCTATTCTTTGATCACTATAATTATTATTTTAGTTAGAGTGTGGAATCGATGAAAAATTTTTCGATCATCGATCAAAAATTTCGAGCATCGAAATAAGCTTTCATTCATT